AACCAATAAACAATGGGGTCCTACCAATAAACGATGGGGTCCTACCAATAAACAATGTGGTCCAACCTATAAACGATGTGGTCCTACCAATAAACATTGGGGTTCAACCAATAAACAATGGGGTCCTACCAATAAACGATGGGGTCCTACCAATAAACAATGGGGTCCTACCAATAATTAATGTGGTCCTACCAATAATTAATGTGGTCCTACCAATAAACAATGGGTCCTTCCAATAAACAATGGGGTCCTACCATTAAACGATGTGGTCCTACCAATAAACGATGTGGTCCTACCTATAAACGATGGGTTCTACCAATAAACGTTGGGGTCTTTCCAATACACATTTGGATCCTACCAATAAACGATTGGGGTCCTACCAATAAACGATGGGTCCTACCAATAAACGTTGGGGTCTTTCCAATACACATTTGGATCCTACCAATAAACGATTGGGGTCCTTCCAATAAACAGCGTGGTCCTACCAATAAACAATGGGGTCCTACCAATAAACAGTGTGGTCCTAACAATAAATAATGGGGTCCCACAAATAAACATTGGGGTCCTACCAATAAACAATGTGGTCCTACCATTTAACGATGGGGTCCTACCAATAAACAATGGGGTCCTACCAATTAACGATGGGGTCCTACCAATAAACAATGTGGTCCTACCAATAAACGATGGGGTCCTACCAATAAACATTGGGGTCCAACCAATAAACATTGTGGTCCTACCAATAAACAATGTGGTCCTACCAATAAACATTGTGGTCCTATCAATAAACGACTGGAGTCCTACCAATACACAATTGGATCCTACCAATAAACATTGGGGTCCAACCAATAAACATTGGGGTCCTACCAATAAACGATTAGGACCTACCAATAAACAATGTTGTCCTACCAATAAACAGTGTGGTCCGGTCAAACAAATATGTCGTCCTACCAATAAACGATTGGGGTCCTACCAATAAACGATGGGGTCCTACCAATAAACAATGGGGTCCTACCAATAAACAATATGGTCCTACCAATAAACAATGTCGTCCTACCAATAAACGATGGGGTCCTACCAATAAACAATGTCGTCCTACCAAGAAACAATGTTGTCCTACCAATAAACGATTGGGGTCCTACCAATAAACAATATGGTCCTACCAATAAACAGTGTGGTCCTACCAATAAACAGTGTGGTCCTACCAATAAGCATTGGGGTCCTACCAATAAATAATGGGGTCCCACAAATAAACATTGGGGTCCTAACAATAAACAATGTGGACCTACCAAATACGATGGGGTCCTACCAATAAACAATATGGTCCAACTAATAAACAATGTGGTCCTACCAATAAATAATGGGGTCCCACAAATAAATATTAGGGTCCTACCAATAAACATCAGGGTCCTACCAATAAACATTAGGGTCCTACCAAAAATCAATGTGGTCCTACCAATTAACGATTAGGGTCCTACCAATAAACAATGTGGTCCTATCAATTAATGATTAGGGTCCTACCAATAAACGATTAGGGTCCTACCAATAAACAATGTGGTCCTACCAATTAACGATTAGGGTCCTACCAATAATTAAAGTGGTCCTACCAATTAACGATTAGGGTCCTACCAATAAACAATGTGATGCTACATTGTACCAATAACACCCCAATCCTACCAGATTTTTGTTCACTCACCTATTCACCTCCCGATGTATTTGCTCACCTCCCATTGTCTATGCTCATCTCCCGTTGTCTATGCTCACCGCCCATTGTCTATGCTCATCTCCCGTTGTCTATGTTCACCTCCCGTTGTCTATGCTCATCTCCCGTTGTCTATGCTCATCCCCCGTTGTCTATGCTCACCTCCCGTTGTCTATGTTCACCTCCCATTGTCTATTCTCATCTCCCGTTGTCTATGCTCACCTTTAGTTTTCTTTGCTCATCTACCGTTGTCTTTGCTAACCTCCAGTTGTCTTTGCTCCCCTCCCGTTGTCTTTGCTCACCTCCGGTTGTCTATGCTAATCTCCCGTTGTCTATGCTCACCGCCCATTGTCTATGCTAATCTCCCGTTGTCTATGCTCACCTCCCGTTGTCTATGATCACCTCCCGTTGTCTTTGCTCCCCTCCCGTTGTCTATGATCACCTCCTGTTGTCTTTGCTCACCTCCCGTTGTCTTTGCTCACCTCCCGTTGTCTATGATCACCTCCTGTTGTCTTTGCTCACCTCCCGTTGTCTATGCTCACCTCCAGTTGTCTTT